TTTTTTTATTTCATAAATATTTATTCCATATTCTTAATATTATACGAAGTTAATGGAACGACTGGAGAAGGTACGTCGATGAACTTACAAGAAAGGAAAACAGTTGCGGAAGCTTGGTCGCAAACTGTGAAATTTACAAATCAACATTTGATGGTTCAAATAGGTGGTGCATGCTTACCTGACGTGATCGAATTAGTAAGTTAAATTTTATAATAAATAAATATATAATTCCTTATATTGATATGTATATATTCCTATACGCGTACGTTGTAATTCGTAATATAAGAACGTTCTTTTCTCTTTTTCTTTTTTATTTTTTTTTTTTTCTTTTTACGAAGGCCAAACACGCAGAAAGTATAAAAGCAAATTCTATGCTTTGTTTACCCGAACTGTACTTCAAACCAAATACGTTACAAGAATTAATCGATTATCTGAAAACAATAGCTCAAGCGGCACCAAATACACCCTTATTGTATTATCATATACCATCCTATACAAATGTTAACAGTAAGATGATATATTTTATTTTTCTTTTTTATTGATCTTTTTTATATTTTTTATATATTTTTAAATATATAAAAAAGAATGAAAAATATTTTATGTTTAAAATATATCTATATGCATTTTACAGTACACATGGGACAATTTTTAGAATCTATACGAGATGAAATTCCATCGTTCGTAGGTATTAAGTTTACGAGTACTGATCTAGTAGAAGGTTCACAAGCATTGCACATTAACAATAATCAATACGTAATATTTCTTGGTTGTGATCAGGTAATATTCAATGATATATAATTAAAATATATTTATATATATATATATATATATATATATATAAATAATTATTATTATTGTGCATCGAAATAGCTCATCTCAGCTGGTTGCGCATTAGGAATTAATTGTTTTATAGCTACGAGTATAAATGTATTTCCAAAACTGGTAAAAGAATTGATCGAGGCGAATAATTCGGCGGAATTGTTACTAGCTAAAAAAAAACAAGAAGCTTTAACGGAGGCCGTTAATATCGTATCGAAATATGGTAAATTATCGAAGGATTTAATTTAATTTATAATCTTGTTACCACAATATATTACTTTTTACGAATGATTTTATTTTCAAGGTAATTGGGTCCAAACGATGAAACACGCTATGAAGGTTATTAGTATGCTTCAAGTTGGACCACCGCGTAATCCATTGAAACAACTTCCGGATAAATCTTTGAAATGGATGGAAGAAGACTTGAAAAATCTCAAATATATAAATTAATTCGTTAATAATATTTAATATATGAATATTAAAATGAAAAAAGGGATATTCCGAGAATTTCGATTGATATATCTATTTATATCTTATCTTGTTTCTTAAATAATACGGGAGAGGAACCGTATTCATTGACCTAATTTTATAATATATTAAAAATATATATTTTAAGGAAAAATCATTTTGAATCGTGACATTTTATTCTTCACTTGAGATCTCCTCTTTTGGTATTAAAAATAAAAAAGAGGTAAAAAAAAAAAAGAAAAAAAAACAATAATCCACAATATTAACAAAAATTAATAATTTATTATAAAAATCATAGGACATATGTCTAAAAGGAACAACTTGCTTGCAAGTTTTACTTAATACTTTTCTTTTTAATAAATAATTAATTAAAATTAGGTAGAATTTTTCACAAATATATAAAACGAATATGGAACTTAAAAAGTTATCAAATAATATTAGAAAAGATACATCAGTCAAGTAAAAAAAAAAAAAGAGAAAAAGTGGAACATATTCAGATTATGTTAAAAATATATTACAAATCCATATATCTTATTAAATTTAATCTACTTCTTCTACGGTAGGACCAGAGTTATCGTGTTTGTATTGACCCTTATAATTCTGCTGGGGTCCACCAGTTCCGCTCTGATGAATTTTCATCATGATGGGCGAGCATTGCTTCTGCAATTCCTCTAATTTGTACTTATATTCGTCGACTTCTGCAAGTATGTTATTGTCTAGCCAAACCAGAGCATCCTCGCATATCTTTCTCACTTCATTCTTATCAGTTTCCGTCAATTTGGATCCACTATCCTCAATCGCTTGTTTAACAGAGAAAACATAACTCTCTAATTGATTTCTGACAGCAACCTTTTCTCTTTGTTCCTTGTCTTGCTCTTTATATCGTTCTGCTTCTGCCAACATTCTATCAATTTCGTCTCTGCTCAAGCGGCCCTTGTCATTGGTTATTCTGATGTTATTGCTTCGACCACTTGCGGTGTCCTTTGCAGTGACATGAAGAATTCCATTAGCATCCATATCGAAGATAACTTCGATCTTTGGTACACCACGTGGAGCAGGCGCGATACCACTTAATTCGAATCTTCCAAGTAAATTATTATCCTTGGTCATTGCTCGTTCACCTTCGTAAACTTGGACGGTTACTCCAGGTTGATTGTCGGAGTATGTAGTAAACGTTTGGGTCTGTTTACACGGTATGCGAGAATTACGTTCA